GGGGCCGGGCGCCACCGAGGCCTGTGGCCGGTCGCCCCTCGCTCAGCAGCTGCACGAACCCGGCCGCCCGAGTCGAAGTCTCCCAGCAGCCTCCGCGCGGGCCGGAAGGACGTCGGGCACCACCCCTTCCGCCCGCAAAGGCGCTCGGGTGCGCGCGCAGCTCGCGGTCACGTGGGCACGAGCCCCGGCTGCAGGCGGGAAGCTTAGGGGGTGCGGCGCAGGCCTGGACCCTCGCTCCAGCCCCCAGGCTCTCCTGTGCCGCCCCTTCCTTCTGGCTTTGGGGACTGTGTCCTGAGGTAAAAATGATGGGCGTTCGCCTTTTCTTGGGTGGTGTGCCCTGGCGGCTGGGCCGGGGGGTGGGGGACGCTGGAGGGCACAGGCTGGGACAGAGGGCAGCTGGCCCCACGTGATCGCCCCCTCCCCTCCCCCGCCCTTGTTTCTCGGGATCTGTGCTTTGCTTTTCCTCCAGCTCTCAGGACTGCGTCTCTGCTCAAGGCCATGAAAGCGTGCGGCAGGCGCAGGGTGTATTACGCAGACATGGAGAGGCAGGACCAGCTGGTCCAAATGCTCGCCAGGCCGGGAGAGAGCCCTGCAGGTGCCCCTCCTTGCTCGAGTGGCCGGGCGCTACTAATGCACGCTGGGGCTTTAGTGTGCAGGCAGAGGAGTGCTTTTCCCTTTTTAGGTGGTACTTTCATGGGTACATTGTGTTTCCAGATAAGCGGACTTGCTGAGTGGCTCAGGTCTTGCAGCTACAAAACCAGCTGAGTCCAAATTTGAACCGTTTTGCTGACCCAAACCTGTAAGCAGCACACTCAGCTGTTCCACCTCTCAGGTCACAGGAGGCCAGAGGGATCCAGGGCCCAACCATTTTACAGATGAGGAAATTGGGGCCCAGGGCCACACACAGAGCTCCCTGGGGTATGTAGCCTGTGATGAGCCCCGTTGAGCTGGCCACACCTCTCTGTCTGCCATCCACAGCTTTGTCCTTCTATTGACTCACCTGCCTCTTCTGTAGGGGAGGGGCTCCCAAGGTCAGAGGTCTTAGGACAGAAGGCAGAATGATGCAAAGAGGACACAGGTCGCCTGTGCCCCTCCAGACACATGCACACAGTGCACACTAGCTTCTGTCGCCTGGCTGGGAAGATAACTTGCCTTGTATGAGGCAAAGTGCTTATGAAATGTCAGCTGTGCTAGTGGTCACTGATAACCATCCCCACTGTTGGTACAAGACTGGGCATTTGAGGTCGGCATGGGGGATCCTTCCAGCACAATGGCCTCATTCAAAACAGCCCTCTTGGGTGCTAGGGGCACAGTCTATCTCCAGCCTCTCGCCCAGTGGCTCTGGCTGCTCCTTTGATGCTGCTAGAAGTTACCTTGGTCAGAAGCCAACTTCCACCTGCCTCTGGCTAGGAAGATGTCCCTAATAGAGATCAGCTTTTCAGGGGTTAAGTAGGGGTGGTGCTTAATAAATACTGGATAAGGAAGCCAGCTTGGAGCCCTCACCGCACCGGACCAAGCATGCTCATGGTTGGTTGCCACAGAAAGCCACCCAACCGTGTGTGTGTGGGGGGGAGTCTCAGGCATTACAAAGAGGCCTATAGTTATGGAGTTAGTGGAAACTTCCTAAATTGATTTGGGGGTGGGGGAAAGGGGTCTGAGCAGCATGGAGTTTTTCACAGTTTCAGGTAGAAGGCACCTTGTGTTTTAATTTTGCTAATGGTGAATGTAAGCCAGGTTTCTAAGGTTTTCAATTTGGGGGTTTTATTTATTATTTTGTTTTCTTGATGGAAGAATGCTCCCTGGACTGATCCCAAAGCTAACAGGACCACAGTGTGGACTGAAGTGAAAATAGCCCACCAGTTGGAAGCCGGTGAGGACCCTTTCCGCCTCTTGAGGACGCACTGGTCTTCTGGATACTCCTGCCCTCACACACCTGTCCCCTGGCCCCCCTAGATGTTGCTGCCAGGGAAGGCATGGTGCTCCCTGGGCCATCAGCGGTAGGGCAGGCCTGGGTTTTGGGGAACTGGCTGGCAGCAGGAGGATGTGAAGGCAGCCCCACCCCCAGTCCTATCCACGTTTGGGCCAGGATTCTCCACAAGCTGAGCCTGGCTCAGGGTGCAGGGCTGAGCCACCGCTCACATGATGACAGCATCTCAAATGTGCGTGGGGCCTGGTACTTTTCCAAGGGCTTTTAAATGCATTATCTTGTTGGAGGCTCATTTGAGGCAAGGACTCGAAGCAGACTGGAAAACAACTCATTTACTGACTCCTGAATGGGGAGAAAGCTGAATGCAGCGTATGTTTTGCTGAATCTCAAACCAAAACAACCTTTTGTTAAAGAACAAACAAATAAACAAAAATGCTGAACATCAATTCACCAGGGAACACAGTCTGAACGGGGGCTCTGGGCAGAAAAATCACACAGCAAATTCAAATTCAACAAACATATACTGGGGGAGGGGGCTCCTGGGGTCACATGAGGGGCCATGAGGGGCCAGGGCGTGACAGTGAGAAGTCCTCCCTCTCATGAACAGGGTAGGGGTAGGGAGAAGCAAAAGCTTGGTTGTCTCAAGGTGGGTGGGTGGTGAGCCTGAAAATCTCAGCGACCAGGGTGGCTGCCCCTCTCCCAGGGCCCAGTGGCCTCCTAGTCCTCCTGAGAGCCAGGTAACAACCAACCGTTTCCCTAAACATCTGCTGACACAGACCTGACCTTTGGGAGTGGGGTTCTTGTCTCAGTGCTGTGGACTGGAGTTGTGGTCCCTCTCCTGAAGTGCTGCTGACTGCATCCCTCTTTCGTACAGCCCACTCCCACAGGCTGCAGGATGCGGGCCGGCTGGCCTTCTGCAACGTCACAGTCTGGCTCCAGCAGCTGAGGTCTGCTACCAGCCCAGCAGCCCAGTGGTGGGTGGTCCAGAAGTGGTGGCCAGGCTGTGTGACCAGAGCTGGGGCTGCAGCCAGGACCTGGAGCTGGTGGTCTATAATGACAAAGTCAGCTCCCTGAGCCGAGGCGTCCTGGCGAGATACGAGTAAGGCTCTCCCAGCCCTGGGCTCTTCCAAACCTTCAGGCTCCTTCTCACCCCTGCTCCCCAGAACTGCCCTGCATCCCGTCAGCTCCAGAAACACTCAGGGACAGCTGGTTTTCTCCATTACACAAGCCGATAGCGACAGCCTGCATCTAGGCTTAACTGTCTAACAGAGGAAAGTGGGGTCTCCTGTCCTCTTGCCTGCTCCCCAAGCCCCAGAGAAGACCATTAGCTCCAGCAGGAAGCCAAGAATCCTTTCCACACCTGGTACCTCCTTTCCCAAAACAGATATTTCCCTCTTGTCCCTCGTTCCTGTCTGCTGGGTACCATGTTTTGCTCCTGGCTGCCCTCCAACCCCAGGTGGGTGCTGGGATCTCAGACCTACCCACAGGAAGTTGCACTGGCTGTGATGGTCAGCCTGCTCCCCTCTCCCACCTGGCTGAGTGCAGGGCTTCGGCCTCCTCTCTCCTGGGACAGGAGTGCTGACACCCACCTCCCTCCCCAGTTACAGTGTGCTGGTGGTAATAGTTGTAGCCAAGTTCATCTGGAGCACTTCCTTGGCATCGCCTGCTCAAGCATATACAACCAGCTGCCCGATGTGGACCGGGTGTTCAGGCTTTGCACAAGCATTTTTCTGGGGCCAGGGGAAGCAGTCGTCTTGTCTTAAAGCCCTTTGGCTGTTGGGAGTGGCTCACAGCACACCCCTCCCCCACCCAGTCTCCCTGACGCCAGGCATGCAGGCAAGGCCCCAGCTGGGTCCCTGGCCCTAAGGCCACCTTTGTGTCCACACAAGGGAGACTCAGTTCTTCTGCTCTTTGACCCTGCATCCTGCAGCACCCTGAGAGCGGATAGTGCCAGCTGCCTGGAGAAGGAACTAGACCACCTCAGTGACCTCTGTTTCCTTCGGGCCATCTCAGAGGGAAACTGTTGAGAGCTGCTTATTGCAAGGCCATTAAGCAAGCTAATGACCCATGAAGGCTTCTGGCCTTTCCGGCTACCTTAGTCATGCCTCCCCTGGGCTCACAGAGCCCGCTGCCCACCGACCAACCGCCTTGTGACTGCTATTATTGTTACTTAAGGTGTCATGCCACAGTTTTCCCAGACAGGGTCCAGGTGTTGGAGCCGCTGCTTGCCTGTTCCGGCTGAGCCAAGGCTGTGCACACACCAGGCAGTTAATAAATATTTATTTGGAATCAAGCCCAGAAAGAGTCACCTTGATTTCCAAGGCTGGGTGGGGAAGGGACTTAGGAGTCTGGGGACATTTGGGCGGGGTGAGGTAGTCAGTGGGTCAGGGCACAGCCTGGGGACGTGTCCTGCAGCCATGTTCTCACTCCTCTGTTCCCAGCAGAGGAGGTTGGGCAGCTGCCTCTCTGCCAGATGGGGCCTGAGCCCCTGATCTCCTCTGTGCCCAGGTGGCTGCTGGGACGGAACACAAAAGGGGACAGAGGCGCTGCCTTCACTCTCACTGGAACTTAGAAGAAGCTGGCTCCCAGGTGCCCTGGGGCCAGCCTCACCTGCCTCACCTGGGCCCAGGTGGGACGTCTCCCTGAATCCTGGCCAGGTCTTGCCCTTCAGCAGTAGGATCGTATCTTCAGTGCCAAGGAAACATACCTGACCCAGTGCAACACTCAGCCTCAGGATGTGCTGGGGGCTGTGACAACCATCCCTGCAGACCTGGGCTTGCAAAGCCTGATGCTCATTTGGGAGAATGTGACAGCAGGGCCAGGGTCTCAGACCCGGGGGCAGGCCTCAGGGTGGGTTCTAAAACGGGGAGAGAAAGAGTGAGACAGAGGCAAAGATGTGATGTGGTGCAGCCATATTTAATTCAACCGCCAGTGAATTCTAAGGGGCCAGAGTAGAGGCTCCTCTCACTATAAAATTAAGTCCCTGCAGCAAGTCACCTCCACCTTTTCAAAGGGGTGGGCTGCCTGGAGATAGCAGCAGCCCTGGCCGCAGCACAGGCCTGGGCTCTCTGTAATGTGGGTGTCATGTGGGGAGCCTGGGGCTGGAAACAGGGCCACAGGCACCCATCTGGGCACCAAGTAGATGCAGGAGGCCTGAGGGCCAGCAGGCCAAAGGCATTGGGGCTGCCCATGCTTCCTGGAGCCCAAGATCATGCAAAGGCCCCACGAGGGAGTACAATTCGCAGAAGCTGGCAGTAGTCCCACAAGCAACTCAAACAGCAATAGCCCAGTGCTTTCCACCCCTCCCCCAGAGCCCCACCAACCCCTAAGCTGTCTTCTAAGACATAAGGAGCCATTTCCATCATCACAACAACTAAAAACAAAAACAAACCAAAGCCCATCTCAAGGTGTAATCTTCCAACTGCTTAAAATTAATTAGTGCAAAGTGAGGCAGAGCCCTCTGTTGCTGGGCCAGGCGGCTGGCTGGCCTCACACAAGCCTGCGCCTCTTGGAGTCCCTCTCCGTGTCCCCCTCCTGGGCATCTTCCTCACAGCCGAGCGGGGACACCAGGTTCAGCAGAGGGTCCTCGGAGGCTCGCCCGAAGAGTGCCAGGAGGAGGGCCACACCGAAGCCCGTGGCACGCTCACCCTGTGGGCAAAGTGCAGGTGAAAATCCCTGCCAGTGGAGCCAGACCCACTCAGTGAGCCTGCCTCTGCGGGGAGGGGCTCTGGACCAGGGAAAGACACCCACCCCCCACTTTCCCTGCAGACCCTCCTCTACTGTCCTGCCACACTCAGGGTCAAGGAGGGCTCTGACCTCACCCAGGTCTCATCGGGGTGCAAAATGGTGAGATCCAGGGCCTTGGGCCTCTTGCCGAGGACGGCCTGTCTGGGGAATGACCGCACACAGCAGCTACTCTGTTCCCAGGGATGAGGAGACCAGAGATCGGGGGCACCACAGCTGGCTGGGAGGCTGGGCCATGAGCAATATGACCCTCAATACAGAATGTTCCAGATGAGCTCAGCCTGCAGTCTGGAGCTCAAGGGGAAGGCATGGGTGGGGGCACAGACAGGCGGGCCAGCTAAGGAAGTGTCCTAATCGGGGAGGGGAGGGTACCCACTGAGGCCCTGGACTCACCGCGTGCACAGGTGCGGCGATGTCCAGATGAACCCAGACCCCGGGCCAGTCGAAGCCAATGTGTGAAGCAATGAAAAGGCCAGCACAGGAGCTGGGGCTGTTGTCCCGGTCCTGGGGAAACAGAAGAACAGATGGTGACCCTTCCCCTCCCAGCAGTGGGGGCGTGGAGGAGTTCCACCACGAGAACCTTCAGGGCTGCTTCTGCTTGGGCCTGCTGTGGACACCCCCACACTCTGGACCCACCCTGCCATCCTCAGCCACTGCCTCCCCAGGGGGGAGGGTCCAGTGCAGAGGAGGGACAGCTGAAAGGGTCCCGGGACCCCCAGGACCCTGCATGTCGGTTTAGGTCTGCCTTCACCCCAGGGAGAGGGGGCAGCCAGTAAAAGGGCTGATGAGGGGCAGCAGACAGACCTCAGGCAGGGAGGAAACCCAGCACCTGACGAGGTGGGTGCGCTGGCAGGGAGCCGGGGAGTGGTACATCCTTCCCCCCTTAGGTGCCCCCCCACAGCACAGAACCAGGGCCTCGTGGGGCGACCCTCATCTACACTGCTGCAGTTTCTTGGGGTCCCAATGACTCCCTGAGGGCGGGGCTCTGCCTCCCCCCAGCTTGGGCGCCACTCCAACCCACCGCCACAGAGTTCTTCATGTCCGCCACGGCCGAGGTGAACTCGCTGAAGTGCAGCTCGGGGCAGTAGACGAGCGGGTGCACCAGGTCCCCACACTTCCTCCCCGACTTCACGCAGGCTGCCTCCCACTCAGCGTTGTTGGTGAGCACAGCGGCATGGTACTTGCCCGTGGCGATGCCCTGGGAGGTGGCCCCGTGGGAGACCAGGAGAGGGAAACACACAAGGAAAGAGAGGAAACAAGTCAAAAGAGAGGCAGCGGGACGCAGGCAGACGTAGGGGGGGAGGAAGGTGGCCTGGCCTGGCCTGGCCCCCAGGCCTCAGTGCATAGGCTCCCTGGCCTGTACCCTCCCCGGGTCCCTACCCAGGTTATGAAGATGAGCTGACAGCAGCCCCTCCCTCCTGGAGTCCAGGTGGCCTTGGCTCTCACCTGAGCTCCAGTCAGCGTGGCCATGTCTAGGATGATGTCGGCCCCCAGGTCCTTGCAGGCGTAGGACACACCGTCCGCCAGCACCAGCCTGCCTTCGGCGTCCGTATTGTTGATTTCCACAGTCCTGTGGATGGCAGGGACCCCACTCAGGGTGGCACTCCCTGGGGCACTGGGAGTGAGTCCCTTTGGAACTGGGTGACCCCATCTGGAGCCCTTGTTTCTATAACTCCCCCCGGGGTGAGGGGGGGCAGACACACCACTGTTCCCTACAGCCATGCAGTGCCAGGGTCAAGAGCCATCAGGTCAGTCCTGCCCTGTCACTCTTCAGCTGGGAGCTGGGACAAGCCACCCAGCTCCTGGGCCTGTTTTCTTGTCTATCATACAGAGAACAGGGTTGTGTGGGCAGCATTTACACAGTTCCTGGCCCTAGGTAAATGCAGGGTTACCTCTCAGGGTAACCCTGGGGAGGGGCACCTGTGAGGGGGGTGAAGAGCTCATCCGACTAAATCAGGGTGGGTCCTGAGCTCTTGAGCCAGGCACCCTCCTGGGCACCCCTGGAAGCAAGCAGCCTGTGGTCCAGGGCTACTTGTAATAGGGTGTCCTCCAACAGAATTTACCTCCTGGAGGGAGTAAGCAGGGTGAAATCTGCCCCCCAACCTGGAATGACTCAATCTGTCCTCGCCTGGGAAGGAGGGGACAGCATGCCCAGAGGGGACTGTAGCCAGCAGAGAGGTGGCCTTACTTTCCTGAGTACAGCAGGTGGATGTCATCGGGCCTCGTTGCATTGGGCCCCACTGAGTTCTCGGCCAAGCAGAACACGGCGTGCAGGTTGTCTTTGAAACCCTGGAGGGGATGTGGGCAGAGGATCCAGTTACAGGCTGGTGGTGCTCGGACCCCTCGAGTCCTTCTGACAAGCACATCTAGGGAGGCAGCAGGGCATTGCGGGGCAGGCAGGTAGCAGGAGCTGGGCTCTGTCCCCTAGGCTGGGCCTGCATTGCTGAGTGAGGTGAGTGCCTCATTGAATGCTGGTTGCACTCCTTGTTAATCTCCAGCCAGCAAGGGGACAAGAGAGCAGATGACTCGTGCTCCGTCTGCCACATCCCCCTGCAGAGCTCACGGTGGCCTGTGGCTTTGCTTGAGAGAAGCCCTAGGAAGGTCCATTTCAAATGAGGTCGAGCAGAGTAGAAGCGAGCGCCGGCCTGGTTCCAGGCCTGGCCCCAGAGGTGCTGGCCCCTCTGCCCTGTTGGAAGCCCCAGAGCAGTCAGGGTGCCCCCACCCCATGCGGACCAAGCCTCCTTTCTCCTGGAATTTCTGCTCAGGGAAACAGGCATGATTCGAAACTTTGCCAACACCTTTTGCTCACACTTTCAGTTTACCCCCAGGAACCACGCAAACAGGTAGGCCCTATGGAGAGAGGAGACCCTGTATTTAATGACAGGAAAGGCTGGGCCTCTTAGAATGGGCCTGAAGGAGCTACACTAAGAAGGTAAGTCATCCCCACAGTGGTCAGGGCACACCACACCTTGGTTGAACAAAAACTTTTTATGGTACCGGGGCTTTTATGGTACCAAAGGACACATAGAATACACCACTGAACCTCAGCCCACTGAACGTGATCACAGCCCCAGGGCAGGGACGGCCACCCTGAAGCTGTCTCTGCCTCTCACCTTCAGAGCCTTTGGCCTCTGATGGGTGCAGACCCCTCCACCAGGCCTGCAGAGGTGGGACCCCACTAACCTGCTTGACCGCGGCTCTGAAGGCCCCCAGGATGGCTGCGGCACCCCCGCAGTCTCTCTTCATCCCGGGCATGGTGGTCTAAGGACAGCACAAATGGTGAGAGAGAGGTGAGTGGGTGCTGACTGATATGCAACAGTGTCCCACCTGCCCCGTCCCACCCTGCCTGTCCCACCAGGGCCCCAGAGGGGTTCCCCAGATCCGCAGGACCTAGAGAAGGGAAACCAGGAAATTCCCACTGGCCAGGAGGGTGTTCTCTAGAAGCAACAGGAAGTAATGGCCAGAAATCAGGGAACCCTTTCACCTGAAGAGACCTTTGGGGGTTATCCAAGGGAACTTCAGGGGAGGGGACAAAGGACACATAGCAGTGGGACATCCAGAGCTGCAGTGGCCAGGGTGCTGCACAGCCACAGCCACCAAAGCTTGGAAGCTGGGATGTGACCCATAGCCAGGCTGCCCAGGGAACAGGCCCCACTTCCTCGCTCTGGCACTTAAGCCGTCACCATCTGGCCTTGACACTTCTGTTCTCGGCTCTCTTTGCTCCTCCACGTCACTTTCTTGAACAATCCACTTGGGTTAATGTGAGCTCTTCCCAAATGTCACTGTCACATCAGCAACCCCACTCCCACTGGTGAGTTTACCTGCAGCCCCACCACCCTGCCCACCATCTGCTAGCATCTCCCGGGTAGACCGGTTTAATGAGAGGCGGCTAGAAACAGAGGTGCCCTCCTGCCACAGAGGTAAATGTGATTTTCTATAAACTGGTGGAGAGTGGTTACATATTTTTACATTTTATAGGCTCCCAACGCTAATTGACAGGTTCATATTTTTAAATTAACAGCGGGTCATCACATGTAAGGATTCGGGTTTGAAATGTACCGAGAGATGTTTTGAACCTTTATCGGATTACATGAGCCTAGAGTTTTAATGGAAAGTATTTTTAGGTATAAACTGAGCTGCTTCTACAATTAAATCGAGCGAAAATGACCCAGCTAGCACTCTTGAAAACAAGCTGTCTCTTTTGACCTAAACTGCGAGAAAGCACAGGATTGTTTAAACAGAAAAACAGGGCCTAGAATCTGGAATCAAACCACTTGCAAAATGGCCCATAGAAAATAGCTCTTGGTGGTCACTGGAATTGCATCCCTGTCACTGGTGCAGCCTCCCAACCAGACGAATGCCCGACTGCAACAGTAAGTCTACTTACTGTGTTCTCCTCGCAGCGCCCCCATACCCCGTTCCTACTTTTATAAAAGAAACAATTCCCACAGGGACACTAAGGTGGCATTTGCCTTTTGCACTGCGCTGACACCTGCACCTACCAGCCACAAGTGACAAGTGGGCTGCAGGCACAGCACAGAGCGAGGCATGGCATGGAGTAAGCCGGTGGTGCCTGGCCTCGTTTCCAGCCCTCTAGGAAAGAAAAGCACTGCCCATTTCACTTGAGTTTCCTTGGTGAAGCAGTCAACTTATTAACCTGAAAAAACCTCGGCCGCTGAGTACAGCAGCTCTCAACAGTCTGAGGGAGCGGACGGTGCTCACAGAGCCCCGAGGGCTCCAGCCACCGGTGGAGGGCGGAGGGCCGGCGGGAGCGAGGCGGGCGCGGCCGCGTGCTGATCTCACTCTGCTGCTGTTCTCACCGGCGCCTTTACTTGAGAGAACAGCACGCACGTGGTGGCTATTCAGACTCAGGTGTCTGGCAAATATTTTCTCAAAAATGAACAAAGTGAGCCTCTCACTTCCAGGAAAATGGTTCTGTTGTTATTTGTTGCCAAAAATAAAGTTGAGCTTTGAAGCAAAAAAAAAAAATCAAAAAAAAAATCAGAATTTTGGAAAACTTGTATCTGCCTCCAGCTTCTGAATACTCAATGACTTTTTCTTCCCCATTGATTTTTTACAGAGAGTGGAAGGGAGGGAGAGAGAGAAAGAGAGAAACATCATTGTGCGAGAGACACATCCACCGGTTGTCTCCCGCATGTGCCCTGACCTGGGCCGAGCCTGCAACTGAGGCACGCGCCCCTGGCCGGAATCAAACTTGAGACCCTTTAGTCCAGGGCCAACAGAACCACTGAGCCAAACCATCTAGGGCATCGATGGCTTTTTACATGAGAGGATGGTGATATTAACAAATGTGATTTTTAAAATAATATGATATAATGAAATGTGTCAAGTTTCAGAAGTTCTGCATAACTCTGCAAACAATATGCATTCAAAGTTCAAGCTGGACCATGTGATTTTAATGTAACAGAGCATAAAAGTTCACTGACATTGTTTCAGGTTCCACATTAGAATGAATCTTTCCAGAGCTACCACTTGTCAAGTCTTAGTGTAATAGCAAACAAGAACGGCCTCAGTTCTGAGAATTGTACTAAACTACTCCCTTTCCAACTATAAAGTGAATGCGACCAGATTTTCTTTTTACATTTCAGCTGAAACAATGTATCAAGATACACTAAATACAGAAGCAGAAATGTGACCACAGCTGTCTTCTATTAAGGCAGGCACTTAAAGAGATTTACAAAAATGTAGCATGATGCCACTCTTCTCACTAATTTTTTTCACTTTGGAAAATACAGTTATTTTCAAAAAATTATACCATTTACATTAACATGCAAGTCAACAATGGGTTTATATTGTTATTTAAAAATGAATTAGTAAACATATCCTTAAAATTTCCCTGTTTTAATTCCTAGTAGGGTAAATATCAACAGACATCACCCTTATACACAATACCTCTTTGGATCCATATTTTTTAAGAGTGTAAGGGGTCTGAGACTAACATAGTTGACACCTGCTAGTTCACAATGATCCTGATTTGCCTTTGAAACCTTTGGAAATGGCGCTGTGATAGTTCCTGCTAAATTGGGAGCTGGTGCCACCAGCAAAACGACTAATTCATAGGAAGCCAGCTTCTCCCTCTGACCCTCCAACAGCCAACATCCAAAAAAGCATCTGATCCCAGAAGAAACAAGCCCACAGTTCTACCAGCCAGCACTTAGCTGCCTCCAGGGCAAGGGGCGGGGGGGGAGGGGGGGC